GCGGGGAGGTTGTCCCAGCCCGGCTGGCCGTGCAGGGGGTGCGGGCGCGGGGCTGGCACCGCCGCGGAGGGCTGCGGCGCTCCCTCCCAGCCAGGCGGTGCAGAGATCGCAGCGGCGGAGCCCGGGGCAAGCAAAGGTTTTAATATTTTATCGCTGCGTCTCCTTCCCTAGTGAGCGCACTGCGCCTGGGCACGGTCTCCGTGAGGGAAGGGGCAGCGAGGGAGGACACGGCCAACTTCCCGAGGAGCAAGAAAGAGTCTAGTTCCAAGGGATAAAAATTGGAAAAAAGAAAATAAGTCACTCTGTAGCCAGTACACAGATCCTAAGCAACTCCGCTAGTTGTCTGTGGGTAGCCCTAGAGGTTTCAGATCACTCGCAAATAGGAAAATCGAGTGATGATGAATGAGTTTCAGTCTGGCGACGTACGGAGTGCTGTGGAGGGCACAGGCTGGGCAGTGGTTTCGGGTAATGAAGCCACAACTGGACGGAGAACTCCAGCCTCCGGCACAGATTTGTCTTTGAAAGGCAGAGGCAGCCTTAAACATTACAGATGTGTTTGAGAGTCGAGTAAGCCTGTGGAAGAGGAAGTGTTCTCCACTCACATCTGTCTTCTGCCTCTGTGTGGTCTCACGCGCCCCGAGTGCAGGAGGGATGCTTGGGTGGAGCATCTGCCTGCCGCTGAGGGGAGGTGAGAGATGCTGCCTCTAACTTCACCAGTTGGGCAGCTGAACAGAAGCAACCTGTTTTGCGTGCGAAACTGAACCTGTGCATGGTATTTAATAGAGGGAAATGTGGATGGTTTTCTACTGGGAGGAGAAATTAATTAGTTCTAGATGGTGACCACTCTGCTGAGCAGACTTAAGTACTTAATATCAATCTTCAAAACTATATTAAAACAGTTTTTAAAGATTCATTTAATAACCTATCACCAGTCATACTTCATTAAGGTGTGTAAAAATTTGGCTATAGTGGAGCTTTAGATTCTTCTGGGCGTTGTGAAGTATTTACATGATCATTAAATCTCCTTTCTGAGAAAAATGGACGTACTGATTTTCAAAATAGTAGAAATTCCTTATTGTTATTATCAATACACTGAAATAGCCTGTTTGCTCAGAAATATATTAGTAGGTGCATAATTATGTGCATTGGTGATGCTCACAATGTTTGGGTTGTTTTTTTGTGTGTTATGATGAGGTTGCTGTATGGAACAGTGCTCTAATTCAGATCAGTGTTCCAAATTAATCCCTGGTGTAATACCACTGATTTACATGGAATAACGCCAGGAATGAATTGAGTGTTGTATATCATGATTTTTGTTTTGGTTTCTAGTCTTCCTCCCTATGATGTTGTGAAAAATAAACAAGTTAATTACTTAAAGTGGTACAGTTAACTGAAAATTTATTTGCTTAATGTTTATTTGCTTAATAACATTTGCTTAATGCTTTGTCTTTTTTACTTCTGAGTGAAAAAAATGGCTGAGATAAAAGTAGGCTGAAAAGATGGGGAGCATACTTTAATTTTGGTTGCTTGTTATGCATTTAGCAACCTTTTTGTTATGCCTGAAGTTCTTTGCTTTAGACTTGCTTTGGGTTTTTTTGGTTGGTTGTTTTGTTGTTTGGTTTTTTTAAATTGACTAAATGTCCAATTGATGAAGATTCTTGATGATATTATTATTATTATTGTTATTATTTCCTCTGGATGGATTGGGTACTTGTTGCTTTGCTGGACTGCTGCACAAGAATCCACTGAAGGGCAAGCAAACCTTGGAAGCCTTAGTTCTCTGTATGAGGAATGAGAAGAGTGGTCAGGGTTATAGACTATTAAGCTTTCCAAGAGCATTAGCCAGGATCATATTCTTTCCACACTCACAAACAGAGCTTAATATCCAAAGAGAAGAGCAGTCACTTTTCAGTTTATTCCTTGCCGCGTGTCCCTGTTAACCACAGAAATGAGGCAGTTTTGGTTGGGAGGTTGCTGGTTTCAAGAGCTCTCATGGAGAATGACCAACCCTGGACTGTGACTTACAGACAAAAATATCAAGACAAAACACTCTGGGGTCCTTATTCTGGGTTTGGCTGGCACCTGAGACTTAATTTGGTGCTAGCAAAGAAGGAACCTAGTTTTATGTTCCACTGGAAAGAGCCCTAGCTGCATTTGCATTTGTTGCTCAAAGCAAGATTTAATTTGTGGTTTGTGGAACAGATTTCAAATCTGTTTCTAGTATCTCTCAAACTTCAGTAGGTGTTCTGAGTTGAAATTACCATCTATAACTTTTTCTTTTAAATGGAAATTACTTTTTATTCTTCAGCATTCCAGCAGATTAAATATATGTTGGATACTACACATACATTTAATTAATTTATGGATTGGTATCTACAACGTGAATTAGTTGTTGCAGACTAATTCTGATTGAAGAACCAGAGATCGTGTGAAAGTGCTTACCAGGAAATAACGTTTAAGTCTTTGGCAACACGTCCTGACAAGTACAGAGACAGACTTTCCTTCTTAGTATACTTAATGCCTGTTAAAAACATTAGGTTCTTTGCCCCCAGTGTCATGCAAGCTATCACTCACTTACTCAGTGACAGCTTAATTTGTCTACACAACTACTACATTGCCAGAATTTATCTCATACCTTGCATTGGTGGCTTAGTTCAGAAAAGTGCTCACAGATCTATTCCATGTGTCCTTTACAAATCCTGCCTCTTAATGGTCAATAAAAGGAGCAAATTTTTGTGTGGTGGTGAAAAGGCTCTACCAGAATGTACCAGAAACTTTTTCCTTTCTTTCCCCCCCGATGATAACTTGGCTCGATGCTATTGAAGTTCTCACCTTAGCATAGATGAAGATGACTTAGGTCAGTGAATGACATGAAATGCATATGCAGTTTGGGAAGGAGGCTCAAGCTCTTTTGCTTCTTAGTTTCAAGCTGTCATAGAGGACCACTGAGTAATACCTGTTGATGTGCAATAGGTGATGGCCTTCACAAAAGTTGCTTCTAGCTGAAGACAGCAGACTGAAAGCCAGGTAACTTTGCTGCACATGGCTGCAGGCAACATAGCAGACCTGTTAGAGGATCTCTTGTGAGGAAAGGGTACAATTTACATTTTTAAGCTTTTTTTTCTCAGTACTATTTTGTTGCCCCTGTGTGCTATTACTGTTGTTTTTTTTTCTTCTGTAGAGTCTAATTGGTCTTAATGGATTTTATATTTAACATCTGCTATGCAATCTGATTTACTGGTATTGAGAGTATTCTTTTTTGACACTTCTGTTTCACATGGGACAATTCATCTTTCCTTGGGTTTTTGTTTTGTTTTGTTAGTTTTTTTTTTGTAACAGGTGACATTTTAATGAATTTACGGTGCTTATTTTCCACTTGAAATCACAGCTCTCTGAGATTATATTGATTGCTGTGGAAATTGTCATAAACAAGTGATAATAATTTCATAATCAGTGGGGACTAAGTTGGAAGCAATTAACTTTTAGGAAAAAACATGGTATTTTGAAAAAAACTAAGGCAAAACCCCCAAACCCAAACAAAACCACACCACTGAACCTCCCCAAAACCTCACTACCACCACCAAAAAAACCCAACCAATATTTGTGTCTCTGCAATAGAAAGGAGAAGGAAACAGAACGTGGTAACTTGAAAGATGGGGAACAAACATGTATGTAAAACAATTTGAGGTGTTGCTCTATGAATGATAACTCCAGTTACACATCCCACTGGGATAGGAGAGGGATGGTGGGTCAGCAGATAACTCCAAACTTCTGAGGGCAGAGAGGCGGGAGAGCCATGTTGCAAGTGGTTTCTGTGACCTTGCTAAACTTCCATCACTGCTTGCTTGGTGGAGTTTTTGCCTTTGTGCAGTGTATCTGCTGTTTTTTAATTTTTTAATTTGAAATGTGCTAGACTGAGGACAGAAAGAAGACCAAGACAAAAGTAAAATAAGGGTATTGCTTCAATGTGTCACATTAAGGTAAAGTTGGACAATTAACTTTGGCCTGAACCAGAGCCTCAAAGATCTGAGTACAAATTTTTGGTGGTACAGGCAGACATTGTATCAGTGGCACAAGCATAATGTAGAAAAGTTTCAGTTTTCTGACAGTATTGAGATCCAGGAATGTGGTTTCTGGTAGGACTATTGAGCAAAACCTTTTAAAGAGAGTTTCTGAAGGCAGTCCTGTGACTTTGGAAAACAGACATAAAACTTCAGGATATTCTACCTGGAGTGGATTACCTGGGAACAAAGCGACAGTGTTGCAGAAGCTGACTTTGCTGGATCTGTAATAGTTTGCAGGAAAAGTGCTCTTGGTGTTAGATCACTTCATACATTTTCAAGGATTTATGATAGTAGTTGCAGAGAAATATTTACTTTTCCACAGTAGGATGAGCAAATAGTATTTTATTTTTTCTTTATTGTCAGCATGAACTTCTACTTATCTTCTGTTCAAGCACAGAATTTATGTGTACAAAAGTTTCCCATATAACATTGTGCCAGGCACATGATTAAAAATTAAAACATTACTGCTAAAAAAAATACATTTTGCAATATATTTGCTTTCTCAGTACGATATGACTGGTCTATCACTGCTGGTTTTCAGCGAATGCCACATTTATTATACCGTGATGAGGATTTGTGTGACAAACAAAAATTCACTAAGCATTGCACCAAGGGAGATTTCATAGATTCCCATATTATTCTCTTTCTGCCACAGTTCCACATTTAAAAGTAGTTCTCGAGAAATGAGACTCTCAGGCAGCTTTCACAGATGTAAGAAGTAATACACTACAGGCATGAAGAGAGAAGTGGCAGAAGAAAGGCTCTCTTCTGGTTCCAGCTGAACCTCAGCATTGCCTGAACTAAGCAACCAGAAGTCAGTCATGTTTGCATGTGTTTCTACTTTAAGGATGAGATCTTTGGTGAGCCAGATGACTTGATAGGCAAAGAAGGAAAGCATGTAAGGTGATGTGCACCCATCTCGTGACTCTGGAGTCCTGGGCTGTACAAGACTGGTGTGGTGCCCTGTGTAGCTTGCAGCCAGTCCTAGGTTGTCTCAGCAATGACGCAGATCCTTGGTGTCACTGCAGAAGGAGTGAATAGCATGGCCATGCTCTGGATTTCTGCTCAGATTTTCTTTCTCCAGTTTTGGATTACTTAATTGCCAGTCACATATGATGTGACAGAGTTAAGTTGACCATGGTCATGTTTGTAAGGCTTTTTCCATGCCATAGATGTTATTTGGTTGGTGACTGTTTGGCATGGTGTAATTGTTGAAAAAAGCTGGAGTGACTATGCCAGCTAACATCCTAACCTGGAAAGCACATGCTATTTTTATATTCAAGTATGATTTTATTTCATTTCTGCTTACAAGACCTTTCTCTCTTAAAGCAGGTGGGAAACTAATGGCACTCTCAAATCATGGCTCTTTTATAAATTGAGCCACTGGAAGTCCAGTGGAAA